TAAATTTATATGATGTCACCTCTCAAACTTCTACTCGCCAGTGAAAAAAGTCCCAGCCTGTCCAGCCTTTCTGGCCAAAATAGCCATTAATAGGTCCAGATAGTGAGATTTGGAGAAGATCATTATGTCAAACTGTCTGTCCCTCCATGGATACTCCTGGGTTTCCAATATGTGGTGAGCTTTGCAGGGGTTGGGATGCATCATCACCTGTGAAAATTACATTTTAAGTTTGATAGGTCTCTTTTGTCCTTTAATACATTTCTGTTAACGTTTTGAGCCATTTTTTGTTATTCTGCCCTAAAAAGGGGCTGCCTTAGCCATTATTATTTACTTAACATTATTATTTACTTAATAAAAGAGCAATAAGTACCTTGCTAACTTAAGTGACTCATTCAGGTACCCTATCACATGACAAAAACTCTTAGTCTCTGGAAAATGTTTAATTGTATGTTCTGATCTAACTTGCTTCAGTCTGGGGAGAGTTAATCTGCTGTTATCATCACTGCCTGCAAGATTCTCTTGCAGAAGACCATACCCTAGGTTCGACAAAACTTGCCTTTAATCTCAACTTTTCGAAAACCTGATTTCTAGAAGAAATCATACCTTCACCTGAAAAGTGGACCAATCGCACTTCCATGCCTCCAATCATAACAAAACAGGATTCTGCAAGATAGACCTAAGGAACAGACCATTCACTAATTACAGACATTCTCGATTCAGACACAAATCAAATGAATTAATATTCATAACTTTTAATTTTAAATGATTCCCAATTGTAACATCTTTTCTTTCCTTCTTTTCTCTTCGTTCTTCTTTGTATATTTTGTGACAATCATCCCCAGTGAAGGAGTAAAGAAAAATTTCCAAAACAGGCTAGTGAGTGGCTTGGAGGGTAACTTACAGGTGGTGGTATTCCCATGTATCTGCTGCCCTTGTCCACGTAGATGAAAATGATTTTGGTTTGGAAGGTGCTGTCCAAGGATCACTGGTGAATTTCTGCAGTGTGCCTTTAGATGATACACACCACTGCTAACTGAGCATCAAATGTGGTGGGAATGGATGTTTGTGGTTGTGGTGCCAAACAAGTGGGCTGAGGATAAGAGATTACAATTATGATCAGAAACTTGAGAATTTAGCACTCTACATTAGACCTAAGAAGGTTACGGTTCATGTGGTCAAAGTTTCTAAGTATAAAAGTAAAGAAATTTAGCAAATTGTTCAAAATGGTTAATGAAACTATGATGTATTTAAATGGGCATCAATCATAGAATCAAACAATACAGAAGAGACTCTTTGGTCCATTAACTCTGTATTGCCAAAAATACATCACTGCCTATACTAGTCCCACTTTCCTGCACTTGGCCCATAGCCTTGAATGTTATGACAATTCCCCAAGTACTTTTTAAAGGTTGTGAGGTTTCCCGCCACAACTACCCTGCTGGGAAGTGCATTCCAGAACCACAGCAAGATCAGAGGCTTGAAATCCTCCAGCAAGTAACTTATCTCCTGACTCCCCAAACCCTGTCCACCATCTACAAGACAAAAGTCAGGAGTGTGATGGAATACTCCTCACCTGCCTGGAGGAGTGCAGCAACATCATGACAAATACACATTGCACTTTTCTCATTACTTCTAGAATTTCCCCTATGACAGAGTACACTCAAACTATAATTGCAGCCTAATTAAGGTCTTGTTTAATTTTATTCCTTCTTCATTCTATACTTTGAAACAAAAAATAGCACTGCCACTTTTATTATGCACACTTAAGCTCTCTGTTGCAGAAATTGGAAGCACAAGCTATCACCAATTCCAAAAAGGAAAATGATCAGCACTTAAAGGAAATAAACTTTCAAGGCATACGGAGATAGAACAGGGGAATGGGACAGGCTGGATTGTTCCATCGAGAGGTAGACGATTAAAAGGCACAAATGCAGATACATGAGAATGGTAAAATGCTGTTATAGAAACATGGTTGCATGGAGACCAGGACTGGAAACTGAATATTCAAAATAATCAACTATTGAGGAAGAATAGACAAGAAGGAAAAGGAAGAGGAGTTGTAGTGATTAAAAGGAATGAGGCTAGTACATTAAAAAGGAAGAAATCTGGGTGGAAATGAAAAACAGCAAGTGGCAGCAATTATTGATTGGAACTATTTGTAGGTCACCAAATTGTAGTGATAGTGTATCAATCAAGAGATGAAATACACATGTAGAATGAACAACACTGTTATCATGGGTAACTTCAATCTGCATACAGACTGGGAACACCAGTTTAGCACTAAAGCTGTCGAGGACAAATTTCTGAGTGTATTCAGATTACTTTTCCAGAGGAGTATGTTGAGGAACCAAATAGAGGAACTTTTTTAGATGTGTTGTTATTTAATAATAAGGGACTAATTAATAAACTTGTAAAACAATCTTTAGTGATGAATGACCACAATATGGTAGAATTTCACGTTATGTTTGAAGGTGAAGTAGTTCACTCTGAAGCAAGGGTATTAAATTTGTATAAAGAACAGGTGCAAGTCACAAATTGGCTGGGGTGGATTGGGAAAATACATTAAAAGGCAATGGCTAGTCTTTGAAGAACTACTGAATAATCTACAGCAACTGTAAATTCCATCAAAATGCAAAAGCTCAAATGTCAGTCAACTGTGGCTATCAAAAGAAATTCAGAATTGTGTAAGATTAAAAGAGGACTATAATATTGCCAGAAATTGAAGTAATTCTGAGGATTTGGAGGTTTATAGAAGGCAACAAGGGGGCACCAAGAAACTGGTAAGGAAAGGGAAATTAGTGTATGAATGTAATCTAGCCAATAGAATAAAAAGGCCTGTGAAATCTTCTTTTAGTGCATACATAGGAAATATTGGGCTAAAGCAAATGTGGGACCATTAAAGGCACAGTCAAGAGAATTTAGAATGGGGAATAGAGAAATAAAGAGAAGTAAAATTATAACTTTTGTATCTGTTTTCACTGAAGAAGACACAAGAAGCAGAGATCCAAGTGGCCAGGGAGAATTGAAGAAAATTAGTTTTGGTAAGAAGATTGTACTAGAGAAATTAATAGGCTGAAAGCTGGATCCTCAGATCCTGATGGTCTTCATTCCAGAGTGTTTAATGAATGGCGAAAGAGGTATTTGATGCACTGTAAAATTCTATTGATTCCGGAATAGTTCCTGTGGATTGGAAAGTGGCAAATGTCACACCACTATTCAAGAAAGAGGTGAGGGAGACCTGTCAGCCTTATATCAGTATTATGTAAAATGTTGGCATTTATTATAAAGTCTGTAAGATGTAGGTATAAAAGTACACTATTCAGCCCAACAAATCTGCTCTGCCATTCACTGAAATCATGTCTGATCTGATAATCCTCACCTCAACTTTTCTGCCTTTTTCCTATTATCCTTGATTCCCTTACTGTTTAAAAATCTACCTGTCTCAGCCTTGAATATACTTAACATCCCAGCATTAACAGCCCTCTGCAGTAAAAAATTCCACAGATTCATTCTGATCTAAGAGATTACTCGTCATCTCTATTTTGAATGTGTGACCCCTTATTGAATTGAATGATTTATTGTCACTTAAATTTTAGTGAATAATACAGTAAAGTACAATGAAAAGCTTCAACTGTCAGTACAATCTGGCGCCACTTTGAATAGTTTAAGAATAAAATAAACTGAAAGAAAGTCTATCATCGTGCTACCATCTCCGCCATGAGTCCTGAGCCGACTCATCAATAACACCTGCACCAATACTCCACCTCCACTGCCTTGCCACCGCTTGTGCCAGACCCACCAACATAGGAATCGCCAGTCTTTAGGCACCATCTCTTCACTGCCAGACCTATCTCACTGACGCCACTGCTGATGCTGTGTCTCATGCTGAACCCACATTCGCCCCACAACCAGGAGTCTCCAGCTCCTTTATTGCTGTTGCCTCGCCAATAATCAGGAATCCCTGCTCCAGGCTTGTCACAACTGCAACCAGAGGTCCATAGCTCCATTGTTGCTTTGATGACGCCAGGAGACCCCCACTCCGGGCATACCATGCTGCCACCCACGACTCGCCAACTTAGGTGTCCCCACTCTGGGCCTATTGCAACCAGGAGACCCTGGCTCTGTGTCAGGCCACGCAGCCGCTGCCTCACCAAGAGTCCCGCTCCTGCTACATTCCTCTGAGATGTTGCCTTGCCGGCGTCACCATCTTGAAAAATCTTCTGCTGCTACTGCTAACTCCAATCACGGGGAGGAGCCGCGTCCACTGCCCTCACCTCCGACTGCCAGGAGGCTGCTGCCATTTCACTCTTGTTGCCGTGCCGATGCTGCCAATTAACTTGGCGCAAAAGACTTCAAAAAAAAGATGAACGAAACAATGAAAGAGAGAAGAGCAAAAGTAAAGAGAGAAAAAGATAGCAGACGGGAGCAGATACGCTGAGGGGTCAAGAGCCTGCACGCAGCCATGCTACTCCACCGCCATTTTTATTATTCAAG